AGGGAGGAGCACCAAAGGCCCTGGCTCTGTGTCAGCCCTGCTCAGCAGCAAGGAAACCATCCCCGGGTTATCAACCCTGTTCCCAGCACAAATCCAAACCATAGCCCCATGCTGGCTACTGTGAAGAAAATTAACTCTGTCCTAGCTCAAACCAGCACACTGGCTCAGGAAAGACTTGACCCTTACACAGCATCCCCCGGAGTCACACCAGCCTTGGGCCTTGGGTTAAACAAAATCAAAAAGCCAACACGCACAGAGCTAGCCTGCAGCTAGAGAGTATCCGGGCAGCGGGTTTCAGGGGCGCTCTCTTCATTGGCCTCTTTGGTGTTCGAGTGTGGCAACTCTTTCCGCCTCAGCTTCCCCCATACCTCTTCTGTTATCCCGCCCCCATGGTTTTTCTTGCTCCCTGTTACTAACTTTTCTTCTTGCTATGTCCATTCCAAAAATGACAAAGATGACATTGCTGTCGCATTTTTCCTTTTTTCATCAGGTCTACCTTGTTGGAAGCTCTACTACTAAGCTCTCCGCAGCAGGTTCAACCTACTAAACTGTAGTCATGCAACAAGAGATGCCCCCAGTACTGCCAGACCAAGGGCGACTTAGAAACACTCACCTGTGGGCTTCTGTGAGCACGTCTCCAACTCCAATCTAAAGATTATGAACTTGCATAACCAAGTCGGCATTTCCTTTCATGGTTTCAACAATCATATTTATTCCTTGGTTTAAAATGTTTTGGTTCAACAGTTTTATAAACAGACTTCACAAAATGTGCAATATTTATAAACATAGTTCTTAGTTGCAGTGGTAGTAAGAATCTTTACTTTCATCATAAAATTCACTTCGATTACGCAACACAAGGTTGGTTTTGTTCCCCCTCTCCTCCCTCCCCCAATTGGCACTTCATTGTAAATTGGAGGAACTTCAAAAAGACAGTTAATCTAAGCATGATGTTATAAGCACCTTGCCACAGTATTACATTCTAATAAGGCAAATTTTTGTTTTGTAAAGTCTGATTGTGCAACTCGGAGACCTATAAAAGGTGACAAAAATGCCACCCTTCTCCACAAGGAACAGGCCTTCATTTTTGCTTCAAAGTTTTCACCCCTCCACACCATCCCCCCTTAAAAAAAAAAAAAGTACAGCTGATAATACAGCAGAATATACCCCTTACAGGGTGAAAGGAAATTACAGCAGACAAAGGCTGAAAACACAGTGCATAGTAGACAAAATAAGACTGTTCTTAAAAATAAAATAAAAAAGAAATAAAAGAAGAAAAAGGAACTGAACAACAAGCAACAATGGAATTTTTCTAGTGGAAGAGGATTTGGGGGCTTCATAAATAAGTGGAAAATTACTAAAATACTTTGCTATATGATATAAAAAAAGCGCAAAGTGTTTTCCAGTTGTCACCTAAGCGCTAGATGCAACTTTGTAGGAGTAAGTGTTTGGAGGCAGCTTTGAGCTCTGACTGGTACAGGCATTCCAGCAGGGTAAGGCTGCCAACAGCAGAAGAAATCCACCCAGTAAGACACAAAAGCCACTGAAATAGAATGCAGTGTCATACTCCTGCGTCCAGTCGTAAAACCAACCTGAGGGTGGAAATAAGAGAGAAGTACTCCTGCGTCCAGTCGTAAAACCAACCTGAGGAAATAAGAGAGAATTGCATCAGTGAGGAGTAATACAGCGCTGTAAATTAGAGAAACATCATGGGGAAAAAAAAAACCAAAACAAAACCAAAAAAAAAGACCAAATCTAAAATGCAGCTTGACCATTTAGACATGAAATGTGCTTTTCATCAAAGCCAAAACCAGACCACAATCAGCTTGGCCAGTTCAAGCAAAACAGGCTTTAGTTTTTGTTGAAGATTTTGATTTCATCTTTCCATTGTTATTAGGACCAACTAGAACTACTCGCATGCAAATTAATTCTGTCTGGTCCTGACAAGCTCATGTTCATTTTATAGTATCTACCTTGACCTTACCTACAATCGGTGGTCCGAGGCTATTTCCAAGTCCAGCAAAGAACATCAATATCCCATATGCATGAGTTAGTTTCTCAATTCCCACAGTCTTCGTTGTTACATATGGAAATATCGACCAGTTCCCAGTCAGAAAACCCAAAATCCCAGAAAGCATCGCTAATGTAAGGTAACTTTTGGCAAATGGAATTGCAAACAAGGCCACTCCTGTCATTAGTAAGGTAGTTACGTATAGATATAAAGTGTTAACCCACTTAAAATCTGCCAGTATTCCTAAAGTAAGTTTGCCAACAGCGGTCATAATGCCTATAATGGAAATAAGGGGCATATGATAGTCATCTTCATTAATGTTTGCACTTCTTGCTACATCTTCCATGAGCAAAGAAGGAGGAAATCCACCGATATCGAAAAGCAAGATGGCAACAAAGAGAGCTGAAAATACTTTGTTCTTAAAAAGAACAACCGTTTCCTCCCAGTAGTTCAAATAGAGCTGCCACTTCCGTTTGGCGAGTTGCTTGCAGAAGTTTGTCTGTTCTACAACTTTCTTTTTATAAGTGTCTTTCTCATTTACATTTATCGGGCTTAGTACATTCTTATTTAAAATGCTATCCTGTTTGTAATCAGGCATATTGTTCGCACATTTTTCATCAACGTAGCCCTTTTCAAGGATGCTTATGTTTTCTTCAACAGTCTTTTCTTTTTCATGGTAAACAAAATATTGATCTGGGACTTTGTCTACACAGGTTTTTTCTGGTGGAGGGGAATCAGATGACTCCAGTGGTCTCATCAGGCTGCCGCATGCTAATATATTTAGAGACAGTGCACCAACTATTAGCAGACAACCATCCAGTCCATATAGATCGATAAGCTCTCTTTGCAATGCTGCATATATAAAGAGTCCAACACTTGAGCCTATAAAAGGAGCATAAGATCAGTTTAAACCGAAGAACCAAGAACATTCTTCAACACCAACAAACTTCTGCATTTCGGCAGCTACAAATATACTGCCACAGGCACGGTAACTCGTTTGTTCTCCTCTCTCCTCAGTCTAATGAACTGGTAAGTTAACATCCCTCTTGAATTTACAGTTTCTTTACTGAGTATGCACAAAATAAAAAGCCTTTCAAAATATCAGAACAATCTATGACAATTGACACTAGCAGACACTTTAGAAACAAGTAGGATCAATACTATAGCTGATGAAAAACATCAAAGAACTATTAAGCCACCCTTCTGCCATGCATTCACATACATGTATCCTTTCAGGTACCCTTTTGAGTTAGCACAGTGAGAATTTCACACACCAACATTTTCCCCTTTCTCCTCCTCGCTGCCACCTTCCTCCTCTAAGGCAGGAACAAACCAGGGGTTCACCAAGAACCCTCCCAGAAACGGCCCTTGACTGCTTGGTGTTTAAGGAGAGGGGCTTACATGATGTGAGTTTACTCCAAAGGCGTTTCTGAAGCTCTGCAGGGCCAAACATGCATTTGAGAAATTTGGCTATTTAGAAGAAAACACTGAAGAGTAAGCAATTACTATGAACATAAGCATTTTATGCAATACCACAAATTTAAAGAAAAAGCTCTCAGTTGAAGTGAGCATGGATCCACTGTAACCAATGGATGTCCACTCACAAATGCAGAGCATTGTTTTTTCAAGTCAATTTAAAGACAAGCTTTAAATGAAAATGATTTGCTGAAGCCTGTCTCTAGATTATATTAAAGCCATTTATTTACTTCAGTGCTAAACACAGGAAAAAATAATTCTAAAATTCAGACTTGTTTTATCTTCCAGGTACTAAAATTAATCAGGGCTCAAGAAGACCAGGCCTTAAAGCAAACTACCTGGAATCCCAACAAAAGCCACTGAAAATGATTCCAAGGAACATTTCTGCAGAAGTTCCCCTTTATTCTACTGGTGTGGATCTGGCATTAATATCTCGCAACACTGACTGTTCTGTCCAGGCCTCCCCTCACTAACAGCATTTTCTTTGTATTATCAGAGGCTTGTTTTTCCAGGATCTGTTTAACAGACATGGACAAAAAGCTGGGATGAGCTTTTGGAAGATTTCAGAACTTAGTCTCCTTTTAGACTGGAAATGAAAAAATATTAAAAATGTATGCCCAAACTTCAGCTACTCCTTTAAAGATACAGCCCATGTGAGGTTATGGTGACCCAGCATTTATATTCTGTATCTCTAATCGCCTTCTCACCTCTGATCTTGTATAAGAAAGAAGAAGGTGAAGAGAGCTCTATGGAAAGTTTCCTTTCTTATCACTCACAGGATACAGCCCAAGCTATTCATGAGTCTGCTTTCATTTTAGTGAATATCCTTTTCTCATCTGTGTGGATAACCCATACCACACACCTGCAAGTGTAGCTACTATTTTATCTATTTATTGCTACTTATGTTTTGACTTAGGTACTTCAGGACGTAACTGAGAAAAATATCTCCTGGGGTTTATTGCCAGGGTAATGGTAGCTATATCAGAGTTGAAAAGTCAGAGAGAATGACAATTAAAAGTCATACCTGTTGAAATCAGACCAAGTGCAAGGCCTCTGCGTTTGTCAAAATAGTGGCAAGTGATGGTAACTGTTGCGGTATACAAAAGGCCACATCCAAGCCCTGGAGGAAAAGAGTTAGAAATAAAGCATGCAACATACTCTGGGAAATGAATGCCCTTTTTTATTCCCCAGAGAATACAGTAGTGTACCCCGGGCACAGAGGTACTTTTTAACTCTGGCTCAGCACCAGCCTCGTGCTGACAAGCCTGGTAGGTTGCCTGTACTCTCCCACCTCCCTCTCCCCCGACCGTCCCTGGCTGCAGAACCTGCGTGGAGCAGGCTGGCTTTGACGAGTTCACCAGCTCAGGTTCTGTGCTACGTGGAAGGGTTATGTGGCTTTCAGGCCAGCGGCTGGCCCCAAAAACCAGCAGAGCTGTGTCCGCGTGGCACTGTGCCCGAGCCGGCACACTGCTGGGTCCCTGCTGGCCAGCGAGGCGCCTGGGTTCCCGACACGGATAATTCGATAAACCACCCACAGCAGCCCTCTGCCTCACAGAGGGGCAGGTCACCACTGCCTGCCAGGAGAACAGGACTTTCAGGCCTTTAGCACAGCATTTTAGGTGCAATCCAGTTATGTGGAGAATAACATTGCTCCCTAATGATCCCTAATTTACCAAATTAGAATGAGTACATGACAAAATTCCTGAGGAGATGTTATTCCTTTAGGACTGGCACTTCATGACTGCAGAAGACCTGCTTGATTCCACCCCTTAGGTAAAACCTCAGCTTCTCCATCTCTAAGAACTGTGTCAACAGAGGGCAAATTGTTTTCAAACCCTGATGAACACATGCGTTGCCTTTATCTTTCACTACATGGCAACAGTCTACCTGTGCAACACCCCTCCCCACCCCAAAGTAAAGCATTCCTTGATAAATCAAGTCCCTGACTACTGCTGCCTCTGTGAATCAGTTTCCCATTTCAGATTCATAAACTGAGACTCAAAATAATAAAGATTAAGTCTCCAGATGAAGGAGAGGTGTTCCTTACCAACAACAATCCCATATGAAATATATAGAAAGTATATGTTAGGTGCAAAACTGCTCATCATGAGGCCCCCGGCCACCATAAAGCCACTGAAAATTGCTACTGGTCTTGCTCCAAAAGATGACACGCATATACTGCAGACAGGACCTAGAGGAAAAGCAGGAAAAACATTCCTAGTAAATACCAGCATCAGTAAGAACTGCTAAAAATCTCAGCCTATGGATATGTTTCTTGCAATAATTACTTAAATATATAATTATATTAAGTAACAATTCAGAATACTCATTTTTACAGGATTCTTTAAAAAGTATCAGTTATAAAAACATACACGATCAGATTTTTGCTCAAGGAGAGACTGACATCAAGACCACGAAATGGTACCAAGGTTGGGAGGGAGAGCGCGAGCAAAACATTCTTCAAACGCAGGATGTACATGCATACTGGACTGCAACGCTGTCACTGCACACCTAAGGACTTGTACAAAGGTTCTGAAAAGAATCTTCCTCTTTAGGTACCAAAAGAAGTTAGACCATCAGTCAGGCTTTAACCAGGCAAGTATTTTTTTGACAGAGCCTAAAAACTGTGTTTCAGAAAAGACAATTATCTGTATTGATATTTAAGATTTACTAAGATGAGATTTATAAAACTGAAATGGAAAATATTAACTTCTGATCATAATCATGGTAAGAATGCCACCTGGTGCTTACATAGAGGAAATATCTGCTGATATACCAGATAAAGACAAACAGCACTCTTCCCTAATTTTCTAGGGAATTAGATACCTGCTAGTTAGTGTTCTGCCAAATAACCATTTACTACCTATCCTGGTTTCTACTGTAAAGCTATGGAAACTAAAAAGCATTTATTGAGAATGTCCAGAGCAGCATTCATGAAGTTCAGAAGAGGTTTCTCCCCCTCTTCACCTCCCCAATATTTCTTGGTTGGCTAGTTCTTCAAAACAAGAACAAAGTACAGGTACCATTCGTACCCTGCCTCTACTCAGCCAGTTCTCTCCTCACAGAAGTTGTAGAAAAGCATTTATTTTCAGTCGTGTGACCTGGAATATGCCTTTTAGTCTAAAGTAGTGTGCAAGCTTGGTGCCTTGCATAAATAAGCAACCAGCAAGGGACTGGGCTTGCAGAAGACAATTTCTCATCTGAAACCCTGCAGTTCCAAACATTCATACGTAGACTTATATATTAGCTTCAAGATCCTGAACTCAGCAACTGAGACTAGAAGTTAGATACACAGATATATGACATTATTTAAAAAACAACAAAAAAATCCCCAACCTCACCACCTTTGTATCTCATTCGCAGTGACAGAAAGACACTCCATGGTCAATACAATCTGCAAAAGCCGTAACTTTGGAGTCTGCCATTTGTTAAGGTTGGTCCTCCCTGACTCACACATAACTGAGATTCCCCACAGATGGGAGGTGAGCCCAAGGAGGTGATATGAGGTGAACAACAGTTGGAGCTGAGGACGGTGCTTGCCTGGGTTTGCAGACAGGAGCTAGCAGCTGGGAATGCAGGCAAGATTTTCGTGTGGTTACCGGCCATGGGACAAGCAGTTCTGGCAGGCAGGAGCACAGACTCGTTACCAGGTGAAACGATTCTCAAAGGCAAGGCAGGTCAGAACTTTTGCCCTACGTAAGAGCTATCTGCCTAGGGAACGTAAAGGGAAGCGAGTCTGAATTGGGGCTTATCCACGCAGAGTCAGAGGTAAGGAAAAATCAAGAAAAATCTTCTGGGGAAGTGGGGCTTATTTGGATTTTGGAAATGATGGAAAAGGAAGATGTAAGCGCTTGCCGCTTCTCAAGAGTCAGCATGCTGTGGGAATGAAAGCTGGCCAGAATAACTTGGGCAGAGTAACCCGCCAAGAACAAAAGCTGAGAGTGTTAGATCGTTGCTGATTCTTAGAATTAATTACTAGAACTGGCAAATTAAGATTGGTATGTTTCCTAAAACCACGGGATTTAAAAATAAACAAAGGATTGAATCTGTATTACATAAAAAATTCTTCTACACTAAAAGAACATTAGGTAGTGATAACATAATTCAATTAAGCAGAGGAATTTGCACTCTTTCTATTCTTTATTTCTCACCCGCTACCTTGCTAAAACAAGCAGTATTTCCCTTCCACCTGCTGTCTATATTTCAACACAGCTACTTTCAGAAGGTGTCCATCCAGCCTGGGGTGGTGGCATGGGTACAGACTGCACTGATCACTACTGGAGGATCCAAGGTGAAGCTGGACCCTCTGACCCCGAGCCAGAAGAAGGGAGACACAGAGCTGAAAAACATGTCTTCATAATCTGACAAGGCCACTCTCCTCTGGAACACCATCAAAAGCATCTCTGACAGGGTCCAAGGAGATACTCTTCCAGCTTCTCCCACTTACAAAACATAATCCCAAAGGAGAACAGAAAGTACAAAGAGATCTTTTTGCTCTGACATGGAAAACAACCTGCACAAAACTGAAGAACCTGCTCCAATAAGCTCAGTATTAATGTGTCATCTCACACAGCAAGAGATCTGGCAGCTCAGCAATGACCCTGTTTATAAGGAGTGCCAGTATAAGTATTAAAATAGTTATTATAGGTCTCCAGGATGAGAAGAAAAACAACTGCATCTTCCCTTTCGCCCTAGGCCCTACTTTCACACTCTCCTCATTGTACTGCTAGAAAATAAAGTCACAAAAGAAAACCCCCCTGACAGTCAGCATCTTTGTTCTTTTCCCTGCCTCCTCGCATTCCTTTTCTTTCTCTGTTTCCCAAAGAGCTGGCTTTTTTTTTTTCCACCAGGCACAGTACCTTTGGTTATTACCATGGTATTACCATGCACAGGAGTTCACTGTACACAAACATGTTATTCTCTACAAGTAATTCAAGCACAATGGGTTCAAGGCAGTTAATTCTGGTCAAACATCCAGCTTTCCCAGAGTGGGACTGAGACTTGCTCTGTGAACGCCTGCCCTGTGGATTTTGTTCAAAGAGGACATTCTGAAGAATGCTGAGAGTCTACGTACAGCCACATAGGAAACAGCTCTTCAGGCAGTATAAGGGTTTTCTTTTAGTTGACTCTCTTTCAGAAAGATCCTTCCACTGATAATGTATTTCTCACTGTAACGTGAACAACATAAAAATAAAATCCCAGTGGCAATCCTCAATAGTAAGCATCGGTTTGCCAAGCAACTCCAGGGGTTAGCACTAGTATCAGAATAGTATTTGAAGACATTGATAAATATTTACCCCTTTTACAAACAGAATCTCTGGGGCTTTTTTCTTCCAAACAATGTATCGTAAAACTAGACCAAACTCTATCAAAAAAAGATGCCAGCCCAGTTTGTAAGAATGACAGCTACCTCTAGGAAGAAAACCGTATTGTTCTGAAAGACTTAAAAGCCAGCACAGGAACAGCCACTGCTCTTCTGCACACAACGTGTCAGGCTCGTCAGCCAGCAACACAATTATCAGGCGCTGCAGGGGGGCAGTCAAGAAGATCCCTAGGCAAAATGAGAAGCAGCAGCAGAAAGATGAGGGAGTCTCCCAATAGATCTTCATGCAGAGAGACGAAAGAGGAAGAACTCCAAGGAGGAATTATTTGTACGCTGAGATTTACACTAAGATTGTTTTGAATAAAAGACTTTACCCTCAGGTACTTCCTGAGAAGTGAAAGCAAGCCATCTGCTGCTCACACAAGAACTTTATAACTACTGCAATCTTCTGACCTCCTGACAAGTAAAAGAAGTTTTGTTTAACAGACATCAAGAGCTAACACTTTTTTTACTTCTCACATGAAGAGAAAAATCCTGCAAACATTCCCTTCCTCCACTCGCCCATCTCAAGAGTCCCCCCCCTTCACCTCATACACGCACGATGCTTTTTTGCTAAACAAACCAGACGATTCTTTTTCTTGTTGCCTGCATTAACCTGATCCACCCTACTTGTTGGTATCTGTCTGAGCCTGTTGAAACTGTGGGGTAGAAGCAATGCTCATGGACTGTACGTAAAATCCACTGGACAGAACACAAGAATATTTTTTATGTATTAAATGCATTGCTAAAACCCGGTCATAACAAATATTTTCCAAGTGTTTGTACTTCAGATAAGAATACAGATCAGAAAAAGCCTTTTTACACTGGACAGCAACCCACTCCCAACTGGTTGAAAGGACTTCTCCTTGCTGATAAAGTTATTAAATGAACTGGGCTCCTCTTCAGAGGAATCTCTGGGACACCCTCTCCCCTCCCCACAAACTACGTATAGCCTCTATAGTTTACAGTGGGGACCATGTATACGTGAGGGGTTTTTACAAAAATATGTAGATGCTGCAAAGGGTTCAGGGTTGAAATGGATGTAAAATTAGGATCACTTGGTGCAGGAGAAACACATGATCTTCAACAACATAATAAATATCCTCCTCTGGCCTGTTTTAGTAGGGCAAACATGCTAAATGCTTTCAATTTCTTCCTATGCAAGAAGCCCTACATCATCCATGGAGCCATGTGCTGCATCCCCTATAGCCTGACCGGTGTTACGACACCCAATATCGTAGAGGAGGTCTCACCGCTGCCCTGTACAATAACACCGATGCTTTTCTTTCACAGAAAGTTATAACTCAAGTCATCCCGCAAGGAAGTGATCAACCAGGTCCTTGTCCTCATTCCCTTTTCCAGCTGATGAGCTGAACAGTCCAGCTCAGGGCTGAACGCTGGCCTTAGCAACACTGCCTGTGCTGTGAGCAAGAGGACAGAAATCGAACACCCGGCGGCTAGGAAATTCATCTCAATAAACAAGGTGCTATACTGGGTTTCTATGTCTCGAGTCTAAGTTTAGCGCTCACGCAAGTCAGAAGTAAACATTGTAGAAAGGATACCAATACAGCAAATGTGAAAGGACTCACCAGCATCAGCTACTTGAAAAAATGTTTAAGGCTACATGCACAGAGGGAAGGGGAGAAGACACACAGAACCTTTTTCTGTGCCAGCTGGCATACATATAAGGACATTTTCTTCTGTTTGGTGAAATTGCAGTACTAATATAGCAAAGTCACTGGACCTACCATCCACTGTTACAGAAGCTAGCTAATGTGATTTCCAGTGCTATCGATGAGAAAAAGTCTTCCTTAAGAACATGGATACTAACTTATTTCTGTATGTAGCTGAAAATCTACCATAACAGACTTTTTTTTGCCAGTCTGGCATCTACAGATTCAGCAAGGTGATGTTAAGTTGGAGAAGGCTCACAGAAGAGTCTTAATAACTCTTTCAAAGAGCCTTAATTAGAAGAGCAGAAGTCTCTTGTATCGATGGCAAAAAGACTGTATCAAGGTACAGGCTTAAAAGAAAATTTAGATATAATTTGATTGCAGTCTCTAGACACACAACACACTTATTCAGAGACGCTTCAAAATATACCACTTAGAGATAACTTTATCCATCAGCTGAAAACTAAGCAACTTGTATCGTAAGATTACGTACTTTTAAGGAGGGAATTAACTACCGAGAAAAGCTGCAAGAGAGGGAGAATGCACTAAACAAACATGTTCTAAACCAAATGAGGATTACAATACTTTCTGCGAGCAACACAGATTGCTTAAGAGTACCAATACTTGAAAATATGTCTTTGGATAACTAGATCAGAGACTGAAAACCAAAATAAAGGAGGAGAAGGGAAAGAACAACAAATACTAGAAGGGTCAAGTTAGGAACAGTGAAAGGCAAGGGGACTACCAAAAGGCTTTGGGGTGAAGCTACCCTGTTACTAGCATTCACACACACAATAATGCTGCTGAAATCAGTTTGTTTGGGCAGATTGTTCCGTTATTAAGTTACAGATAATATCTTTTCACATACATGAAAACATGCTAATTTAGAAAAATTCAATTACCCTGATCATCTAATTTACACAGGCTACAGCACACAATGGTCCCACCTAGCCTATAGCACTGGAACCTGCAAGAGGAGAAATAAGAGCAGGAGCAAGGTCTC